TTTAGGTAAGAATACAGATCTACTCAGGGCACAAGTTACATGAATTAAACTAAATTGTGTGGGTTTCATTTTAAGCGTGCTTACTTTTAAATCAGTTAATGGTGATTGTTAGGGCAACGCAGAGGAGACTACATGTCCTCTTTTCTGTTTCTTCTTCTGTTCTTTGCCTGGGGTACAGCTAAATAGACAAACGAGAGGATTACAGTTCAGTGCTTCAGAAGGGGATTGTTCTTTCCCACCTACCTACAGTATAACATTTAATAATTAAGTGCTTTTCTTTATGTTTCCATCACAACAGTCCTAGACATGCTGTGCTCTTTGTTTCATGTTTTATGAAGTTCAGCAGAAATCTTATGAGTTACTGTCAAGAGAGCAGTAATTATTTTTAATCTGGACTTGATAATTAGAAGAATAGCATTCAGTTTGCCAGAGGGTTGGTAAAATAAATGTTATGCTGTTTGATACATGTATATTTTTCCGATAAAAAATTACCAGAATTGCTGTGTTGTAGGCCACAGCACCCATAAATCCACGTACTGTGAAAAATCCTCTCACAGTTCTAAGCATTTTCAGTATTGGTATCTACCTTGATTACTGATAGCTAAGCTTTCTGTAGATTCATTATTATTGCTGAAAGTACTGGCCTCTCAAATAATGGTAGATAGCTCATGTATCTCCTGTCTCCAAAGCTACTATGCATGATAGAGGGAATATTTACTACATTGAAATACTCAGCTGGAGCAGAAAAAAGTTAATGCTGTTGAAGCATCTGTGCAGGCAAAGCATTGAGTGGTAAATAATTTTGTGAGTCGATGTTTTAACTGTGGATTCTAGACTAGCTTTAAGATTGGTTGTATTGAGCTACTGTTTGGGATGCTAAGAGTTAATTTATTTCTGGAGGAGCCTGCAATAAAGGGATGACAGAATATAGCCAAATTAATGAGATCGTGCTTCTGAAATTCCTAACTCTGAGAGTTAGTTAAGATGATACATGAGAAGAGCTTCCACTTGCAGTTTTGTGTTCCCTTGAGACACTTGCTTCAAAGCAGCAGACTAGGCTCTGTGAACTGCACCTAAAAGAGTGCTGTATTCTGGGGACAGGCTCTGAAGTGTAAGTATTGTAAGTTTTTCTGGAAAGGCAGGGGTTATTTCTCAGATTAGTTTGGGGATTTTTTTTTTGCTTTGGCTCAGGTTTTACACTGGAAAAACTTTGCACGAGTACTGTGAACAACATTTCTTTCAAAGTTGACTTTGATTTCTAACTGACTCATGACTTTGCTTCCTTTGTTAAATCTGAAGATTAGTCTGTAATGGATGTAAAATAAGAAAAACTCTCCTAACTTCCTTTAGAAGAGGCAACCAAGGGGAAAAGACAGATTTGTAACTATCTAGAGAGGAATTTTTTTATCATAGCAAGCCATGAAATAGTATTTATTTACTCTGTAAGGCCTTAGGGCAAGTACATTAATATGCAGGCATTGTCTGGATTTTTCTGAACAGAGGTGGCTCTTCCAGTGCATAGGTGCTCTGTGGAAACATGATGGAGGAAGACAGCACCTTGCCTTGTGTTGAAAATGTCAGTCTTGGTTTTGGTTCGATGTGACTTCAGTGTTACCATGATCCTTGGACAGGCTAATTGCTGGCCATGCCCCAGGGGTAGCTGCTGCTGTGCTTATGTTCATATATAATGTTAATCCATAATGAAAATAAAAACCCAGCACATTAGCAGAAGTTTTTGCAAATGTGAGAATGTTCTATTCACTGATCCGTACACTTTTTAGGAGTTGCTTTAGAATATACATTTTAGGTTATTTTTTGCAGAAGGGTGGCATAATTATTGATATCCATAGAATCCTGGTTTACTGTGAGTATATTCCCCCAGGGATTGTTTGAAAATATTAAAGCTGTTTATCAGTTTGAAGGAAACCAGAGTAGTAATGTTGTGCACTAGGTATCTTTCATGTTTGTTTCCCAGAGATACAGTAGAATCTCTCAAAAATGCTTTTTATCGCTAGTGTCCATTGAAGATGGCTTATTTATCATTTAAAGTCTCCTTTAAAAGCCAGAAGGGAGGGGAATAATACATTGGTCATCTAATTAATGGTTTTTATTAGTATTTTTCTCTTAAATTTACACTTCTGATGTAAGCAGGGATTTTTTTTGTATCAATTATGTGAGTTGGATATCCCATGTTTTCCACAGTTTTGCTTCTACAGAAGTTGTGTCTGATGAAGCAGCCGAGAGATAAGGAGATTTACCATCAGTGAAAATGAATGGGCTTTTAAAATTATTTTTGGTTTATATTTAAGCATGGTTAAATTTTCTGGCAGTTTAGCTCCCCAAGGCACAGCAATGGCACTAAGCTAGCTGAATTGACACTTCCAGAATTTTTCCTTGTCTTTACTGAAGGGATACAATTTTGAAGGTTGCTAACTATGAGAGCAGTTGTGTAATGTTTAGGCCATTTCTTTTTCTTCTTTCCTTATCTTTTCCTCTTCACCCTTTTGTGAGAAGCCCGTGTTACCTGCGTGCCTGGAGTAAGGCTGCCATGTAGGGAGAGAGCTGGCAGCGTGGTGCTGCAGGGTCACAGCAGCACCTGGATTTTAGCTGAGGTGGGCAATTGCTTGTCTGACCCACTGAAATAGGTAGGAAGCTTTTTCAGCCCAGAAGGCTTACTGCCTGCAGAGATGGGACCAGCAAGTAGTTAACAGCACAAAGCTCTGTTATTCATTGCTCTACACTTGTGGAGTGGAGGCACAGATTCAAAGAGCAGCATTCATATTGCCTCCTTTGGTCACCTTACTGATGCCCTGAATGACCCATCTGATGAACAGAGCTTCCACTGCTCTGACTGAGCCCTTTCAGCTCAAGGAGATAATAAATGGCTTCCTAAATTAAAAGCCAGATTATTATTTGCAGCAGAATTTAGTCCACTTGTCTCTGGAAGGATGGTTGCAATTCTCTGACTCCACGTATGCCCTGAACATTCACCCACTTTCTCACTATATGCGTGCACGTATGTGTCACTAAGAATGTGCTAGCACTAGCAGCTTGGCATGCACAGTGCTCATTGCCTTCCAGTGCTTTAGTTGCGAAGCTGGACAATCATTTCAGATCGTAATATACTTAATTTATGACCAGGAAGGGATGCTTGCATCACCTGATCTCCCTCTCTCTGTGTTGCAAACTTTACCTAGCTGTATGAAACCCAGTACATTTGTACGACTACAGGATAACTTGCATTTTCACAAAAAATCATCCTCTAGTAAAGTCCTGCTAAATCTTGATATCAACATAGGAGCACACATAGATTATCCATTTGTTGATATCAAGATTTAGCAGGATTTCCCAGCTGGTGTTACCAGCGCTGCCTGTACTTCTGCCTGCTCTGTAGCAACATGGGAAGAGGTGTAGCTCTTAAGGGGTCCCATCACTGATAAAACATACCAGTGGTCCAGTATGTAAGGTTTGCAAACAGAACAAATGAAAACGTGACTCAACCTATCATAAGTATAATTAGAAAGAATACAATTTAATCAATAGCATTACTTCCATTTACAGTGCTGCAGTATGAGGATCTGGTATTTTACAGTGTCCTTTAAACTCCATAAATCTTGCAGAAGCCTTCAGCACAAATGAGATAGTTATTTTCCTGTTATGTGTCATCAGAGCAGCCTCAGTTTGTGTTAGTTACTGTTGCCTAGCATAATGTCAGAGTATTGAGTAGAGATAATTTTAGCATAATAATACTCTTAATTTTTTTTCCGTAAGACGTGGAGAAGTTGTAACAGAAAAATCTTCTAATTGTTGCTTGGATTTTCAGATTTTCTATTCATGCAGAGTTGTACTTCTTGAGTATATTGTATCTTGCATAAAAATAACTTTCCACAGAAAAATGAGATGGAGAAGATGACAACAGTCAGGTCAGATGCTATCTGAGAATTAGATATGTCATTATATAGGTAGTCAGGTAGATGGAGGTTCACAGTCATTCAGTAGGCAAACTGAGAAAAACTATGGACTTCTAGCTGGTGTATTGTTAATATAGTATCTGGTCCAACCTTTCCAGGTAGGAACACAGTTTAGATGAGATGGCCTAGCACCTCGTCAAGCTGAGTTCCCAGTGTTGGGGAAAAGCTTCTCCTGATGATGTGCTTAAATGTGTTATTTATTAAATTGATTATATAATAAGATTATCCTTAATGTATAGTTGTAAAATATATTAGACATTTGTCTGGAAGAATACAATTAATTTTAGAAGTCTCCATTTCACGTTAGTGTTTAATTATGAGATTATATAGACAAAATCTGAGCATACGACTTAAGGCTTGAAATGCAGGAGTAGGAAACTAGTCAAGATTCATGGGCCATTGAATGGCAGAGGAAATATGAAATAAGGCTATACTCATCATGCTTGATGGCGGGCATGAAAAAAATCTGCAAATAGGTTTATTATTGCAGAATAATGCCAGGCTGTCTTTCATGTTTCATTTCCATAAATGCTTTCTTTTATGCTTTCCCCCCAAAACATATAGGAAGGTAATTTCATCGGCCTGCTTACTCTTTTTGTATAGAAGTGATGCTCAATCACTGGAAGGTTTCTCAGGGAGCACTCTTGTGTGTGTCCTGCTCCTGTGGGACAGTGTGCTGGTGTTTCAGTCCCCTGCTCAGCAACGGTTCTGGATGAACTGCTTGCTGATGTTATACTTGACCAAACAGGCTGAAAAGAGTTGAGCCAAGCTCAGGGTGTATTAGGATTCTTCCAGGTTCTTGAAAAGGTGCACAACTTTGCAAAGCGCTTGAATGCTGTGACTTGCTGGGGCTTGCCCTTGCCTCTGTCGTTCCTTCTGTGATGATCATTGGGTTTTTGATCCTTACAGTCCTGCCAGAGCTCCTACCTTGGGATCTAGTACCTTCGCAAATGCCAAAAGCAAGAGTAAAATGCTCTTGTTTTGTTCAGGTGTAATGGAAACTGGCTTGATGGGTACCTCTGTCTTTCCTTGCAGCCCTCTCAGCTGTCAGATGCAGTGATCTCCATGGTAACTCAAACCCCCAGACTCTTGACAGCAGCCTGCGAGGAGCAGCATTCAGCAGCTCGAGGGTCTCACGACCAGGTAAGCCAAAAGAAATCACCAAATGGTAGCTCACCTCAGAAACGTGGTTTCCTGTCCAACTGCCTTTCATTTTTTTTCCTGGTGAAGCCATGCATGCAGTTAGTTCCTATGCACATACGTGATGATGTACTTCTACCAGTGCTTAGGGCTACAGCAATCCAGCTGTCTCAAGTACAGACGTTTGGCAAGAATTCTGCATTTATTCAGGGATGTTTTTTAATCTGCACATTGTAGAGCCACACTGTAGCAAAGCAAAGAAGTATTGTGCAGTTCTTTAAGTGGCTTCGGTGTTAAGTAATTGCTATAGTAGGAAATAACTCCAAAAGACATCAGTGGTAAGATCTGTCTTAGCACACTAGCTACACCCCTGCCAGTATCGCTTGGTCACTAACATTAGGTTTGTGTTTTCTCACCCTCCTGGAATGGTCTGTGAAGACCGTTTCTGTGTTCACTTAACATTCAGTGCTACTTTGCAGCCTTTTCAAATTGCTGCTGTGCTCTTCTCACACAATGACTTTCTAAATCCCTCGCTGTGCTAATAACAGCATGTGGGACATTCTGGTTAACATCCTAAGGAGGTACAGAATTTTTCCCCTTTTTTGGTGAGTTATGGAGAAAACATCAAGAAAAAAACAAGATCTTTGCTGTCTTAGGGAAACAATATGGGGGCTGTACAGCTGTATTCACTATTCCAGTATCACTAGTGTTGTGAAAAAAAGCAGTGTCTCTGTTCATATGCACTTACATATGTGGGGGTGTTATCACTCCTTTTTGTCATGAGGCTTTGCAGGCATTTGTATTGAATTATTTCTATGGCATGAAGATTGCATTTCTTTTTTAAGTCCTTGATTTCTATGCACTGTTTTCTAGGTAATACCTGCATTCTTTCTTTCTTCCTTGCTACATAATTCCACTTGACTGTAATACACTGTCCCCATCTACATAGCAATCCGTATTACTCTGAATAACCGCTCTGCTGCCTTTATTAACCAATCTGACTTTTTTTGTGCCATAACTGCTATCAACAATATTTGCTTTTATATTGTTGATGATACGCTTAGATGATGTTGAACTAGTACTGGATTATTTAATAGAGATAGTACATTCTTCTGCAATTATTGTGTCCTGTTAACAGATACTATTTTATACGTGTATCTTAATCACATTTGATAATATTGATAATAATTTCTTCCTCTGAATGTTGTGTGGCTGTAAGCTAAATGCTGTTCAAAAGTCTTTGTGTTTCATCTGTGGAGTAACTTACATTGACCACAGTTCCTTACTTTATCAGATGATTAAATCGTACTTTATTTTACTGACCAAGTTTCTATAAAATGTTGTTGACTGGCATCAGTTTTATTCGTGTAATTTCCCAATGAATTTATCCTTTATCAGTTTGCTGGTTATTTTGCCTGAGATTAATAATGGCTTAGAGCTCTGTAATTACTGAGATCCTACTGCCTTCTGCCTTCAAATATTGGCAGAAAATGCTAGCAGTCTTACTGAATTTCTCTGGTGTTCCAAAATTTATTGAAAATTAGCATCATTGAAATTACACTCTCACAAACACTTTTAGGACTCTAAAGCACAAATTATCTTGGTGTGCTATTTTTAAAGTTGTCTTAACATTAATTTTGGTTACTAATGGCCTCCTTATCTGTAAAAATGCTTTTTTTCTCCTAAGGAGAAGAAAATATATGTTGGTTTGGGGCTGGGATTTTTTGCATAGCATGTTTGTATTCTTTTAAAACATGAAGCAGATGTTGGAGGTTCTTTCTTTCTTGTCTGTTTTCTTTAGCCCCAAATGTCCAATTTAAATTATTTTCTAGCTGAGTTTGCTGTTTGGTTTCTTTTAAAATGTGTAATGTATGCTTCAGTTGGTTTACACCCTTAACCTGGAATTAGAGAGCAGTTTTTTTTGCCACAGGTTCCCCTGTTTGGACTATTTAATAGTGGACTTTGGTCCCTGGTGGCAATGGGGTAGGGACAGTCCTTCCACATTTGAATCTCTCTACTTTCTCCTAAATGCAGAATTTTCCTCTGGTTTCCTGGGCCAATTAACTTCCATGCTTGTGATTAACTAAACTTTGCATCCTGAATGTGAAGGTCCAGATTGTGATTACCCTTTTGGTATTAGAAAAAGAAAAATTTGGGAGCACTTGATATGGTACTGCTGACTACGCTTTGTTCCTATGTTACATCTCTCGGATGTCCTCTGTAGTTCTTCTCATGTTTTACAAACACAGACTTAAAGAACAGATCATCCAGTCCTCTGATATGATTGGATAGTTTGATTTATCTTGTATTACCAACAGTATGTCCTTCTGTGATCTTGCTAGCATATTGTCTATATGAATTCAAGATCTGTCTCTCTCTATCTTACTGGTAATTCTGAGAGATAACGGTGCTAGTAGTATAGGGTGCCATCCTATTTCCTTTGCTAAGGCTCTCTTTCCTAAAAGGTTAGAAATACTCATTTTAATGTTATAATTGTGGAGATCTCCCAAACAGTTTTAAATGATAGCAACTATAGAAGACAGCTCCTCTTAAACAAGAGTTTGCTGCCTTTCTTCCCTGTTCTCTTGGCATCTAGTTGATCCCTCCACTCAAATGTCCATATGTAGGGTTGAGTTTGTGTTGCACCTTCCAGTTTACTTGAGTAGCTTTTTGCCTGTCCTAGGTTGTCTTTATATGAAGAGAATAACCACATATTGGTGAGATGTAGATTATTCCTTGAACACAGCTCCTTCCCACTGTGAATGTGATTTGGTGTTCCAAAGGCTAGTATCTCAACTTTTCACCAGACACATAGTCAGTAATCAGTCATCCGGCTTTCTATTTTCTGTCTTCCTGAAGATCAGACAGATCTCCATGATCTCTTTCACATTTTCCTTCCAAAACATGCAGCTGGTCTTATGCTAGCCAGAGATGTTGTAACTGGGAGTGACAATACGTGCTGTAGCAGTTCTTCATCTCATAATAACACTGGGACTTTCATCTCCACAAGAGAATGTCTCTAACCAGTCTAGGTGAAGGCAGAAGCAATAAAGGTAGAAAATGCCATGTTTCAAAGAAAGGAGCTCCCGGAAAATTTCATGTAAATTCATGACTACAAATGTAGAAACTCCGTTTTGGATTTTGGAGAGCAGAGGTTCTGATCTGCTCAAATAGTTCTGTCATGATTGCCTATCTGAACCAGTATGAAGAGACCCAGAAGCAGAGAAAAACATTTGCATTTTGAAAAGTTGATGATTATTTGTAGGGGATGTTCCCTTGTGCCTGGAAATGGACCATGGAAGTTTCTTCAGTCCTGTCTTTTAGCCCAAGCTACAGCAACAGTTTTTACGTGATGAGTGTCTGAGCTTAGGTACTTCCTACTAGGTAGGCACCAAAATTATTTCCCAAAGTTAGTAGTGGCTTTTTAATATCTTGGCCAAATCACTGTCAAGACCAATAAAAATAAGTGAACAAAATTGCGGGCATGTTAATTTTGTCCCATGCATTCTTAATGTTGTCATTGTTTAGCATTGAGATGGTGGGGGTGACAGTTGACAAGAGGTTGACTATATCAAGGTCATGTGTGATATGTTGTGTGAATGCATAGAGAATTACAGAATCTTAGCTGAAAAAACTTGAGTATAAAAAGCAAGATGAAACAAAGATGATGTAAAATTAGATATGAGAACATGAGGAATTGGAGTAATTCAGTTAGAAACAGTAGGAGTATGCACATGATACCTAGGAAGAATAAGATCACCCTTTACTAGATTGGTGTTTATTGTATGAATTAGTTATTTTGAATTTAAGAAGGAGATGGATAGGATGTAAGTGGAAGATATTTTAAATGTATCAGCTGATAATGCTGAACAGGTTTCTGTTGTACAAGTAGCTTGAAATGGGTGCAGTTTGAGAATGTCACAAATTAATGGTGCAAGTTGTGACTATCTTGGTGTTTTTCAATATTCTTTTTGAAAAATATTTCCAGAACAGTATTTTTCAGGAACATTTCAGAAGCATTCATTTGGTGTGATATAGAGGAATGTTTCATTAAGTATAGGTCAGGATTAAGATAGTTGACTTCGCTGAAATATGTCATCTTTTTTTGTAAGATGATTGTGTTTCATACAAGGAGAGTAAAGCTGTCATCAAAGAGTTGGCTTGCAAGTGCATAAGTTTGAGAAGTATTAGAATAAACCTTGTTCCTTAACTACATGTTTTTTTTTTACAATTGGTGCTTTTTAATGGTTAATTTTAATTTATTTAGAGCTTTATCAATGGTATTGCACAGGCAGAGAGGGAAGTTTTCTGTATGGTAACAGATTCTGTTGGCACTAAATCCAACCAAATAATTTCATTGGTCATCTAGATGTGATGAACTGGAAAAATCAGACTGCTTTTAAACAGTATCCTTTATAATGCAATTCTTGGTTGTAGTTGATAAAATGTGTATTGATTTTGATTTCTAAAATTGTTTTTCAAGTATTGTCAACAAAAAATATGGCACCTGTGGGCCTACATGAAGTATTCCCTTTGACTAATAGGCAGTCATTATTCCTAGTGAATGTTTATTCTTAAAAGTCACATGGCATTGTGCCTGTTCACTGAAAAATTGTGAACTGTTGTCATATTTTTAAAAAGATGTAATTTAAAATAACAAAAATAAACATTCTTTAAATTTGCAGCTGTTTTAAGGCTAAAGCAGAGTTTTGTTTGTATATTCCTTGATACATCTCTTGCTACTTGATGAATTGTAGTTAAGTGAACTCTGCTTTTATTAATGAAATATTACTTAATCGGTATTTTCTCACATTGTCAACCAAGTCAGAAGAAGGTATATCTATCCAGAACACAAATTTGTCTGTTAGGTACTAATTTTTATGCCTTTACATTGTGCCAGAGAGATGATGAAACTACTATTCCAGTCATGGTTAACTTCTAAGATACTTGCTTTGAGCCTTTGATATATACAGTAATAATGTTTTAAACTACTGCTAGTAGAA